ATCGGACAGAGGTTGAAACGCGGACTATATGAGAGCAACGATATGTTGTCACTGTAAAGGGAAAAATAAATTCTATTCCTAATCAGTTCCTATATACACATTTTCAAATCAGATAGCGTAAATTGGATAGTACGTATTTCCTTTCCAATTTTAATTGCATCCAAATCTTCCTGGTTCATTTCACCATAAAAATCAATATGATTGTGGCTCTATATCATACAACGTGAAAGCAAAATTTACATCGACATAACCAAATAAACCAAGTATTCGAAATAAATAAGAATTCATGGTTAGAGAACCAATCAAGTAAAATGTAGTTGGATAAGAATAGGAAAGTACTACTAATCTAACTGAATGTTGTTGTAATAATAAAGGGGTATTTATGAAAAATCATTTTTAGAGTTCAAGACTCAAAAGTTTCTGTGATAAGAATCATTATCTACCAGGAGATACTGCCTAATTAACTATTGAGGTCGATAATTCAAATTGCTATTTGAATATTGACTATTTTGAAATAGAATTGCATTAAGTGTTGATATTAAAAGCAAATTACTCCACAACTAAATTAGCCCGAAAAATATTAACCTAAAGAATTCCAGGAATTCAGGCTCGATCTAAAAATGTTGGCTCTGAAAGCAGAAACGTTTCAATAACTCTTTTGAATTAAATAAGGCCTTAAATTGAATTAACTCCTACAACTAATGGCAAACTAGTGAATCAATAATATTATCTCAGGGTTAATCCAAAATTTGAAGGTAATTTTCAATTTATATTTATAGGCTGTATTTGTTGTTCACAAAAACCTGTTATAACTTTCTAGATAGTATTATTATATCGGATTCCTTCTGATTACATTTAACCTCTTCCATAACCGCCTGATTGGAATCCTTAGACATTTGAGCCGGTTTTGATTGACTTTGAGCATTAATATCAAATGAATATTGCAAATAATAATATGCAATAAAATGATCCTTTTATGAGCAAATATTGATTCAAGTTTAAAATGAAATAATTTGATATATCAAAATGTTTTATGTTCAATTTATTGTATTTTTCTACTCATCAGATGAAGACAAAACAAATTAACCTAAACACATAATCCAATTTAATTAAGATTCAAAGAATTAACGAACTAAAGTAGTAAAATCCAAAAGAGATACACACTTTAAAATTCAATTATTTATAATTTAAAAATTAAAACTTTTAGATTTTAATCCTTTACAGATATATTTTGACCAAAATCTCTACGAAAATTAAAGTACCATTTTTTTTGCTAAATACATTGATATAATTCAAAATACCTATAATGAATATAAGCTATATAATAATATTATAATGTCCTTAAAAATTAGTTGAAAATGATAATACTTTATGAATGTATATTATTTAATATATATATAAATGATATTTTGAATTATGATTAAGATCTATTATTTTAAGATGATTGATGGAAGAAATTTCGATTATTAAAAACTGGAGTTTTATATAAATTAGTATAATTTCAATCAAAATCTAAATCAATAGCTTCTTTTTAACTGTGTGTTTTTTTTTCTATTTCGCTACCTTTAAAGATTAAGAATTATTTTTCGATATCTTCATTTCTATCTTCATAATCTAGAAATTATATTTTTCAGAGCATTTTTCTCTACAAAAGTTACATCTATTGAGCATTATTCCATTTTTAATATCAAATGACTAATTACAATTTACACATTAAGCCTAATCTTAATAGAATTATTACATGGTACAAATTTTTATAATTTTTATAGCAATCTAAATTACAAAATTCATTGCATTGGACTTTAATTAAGTCTTTAATTAATAATTTAAAACAATTCCAACAAGCTACCTTTTATATTCTCAGAAGTTATGCATTTTATTCATCATATGGCTTTTATTTTGAGATAGACATGGCGATTATATTATTATCAAAATTGTTTTAATCGGAGTATGTTTATATACTAATATTTGTATTTTCTCCAATATGATTCTAATGCATATAATTAGAAATCTCTTCTAATTAATTCAAGATAAAGGATTAGCGAAAAATAATTTAATTTGTTAATCCTCTTCTTAGTTGTTGTTTTATTGAAAAGTTACTTTTTTAACAATATTTTGATCTTCATTTCTAAGGCTTGATTTTTGCATAAATTTAGTGAAACTCAAGTCAATAGATGGTTCTATGGTAATTGAATAAGAATACCTTCTAATTAATCATATTTAAGTTCATTTTATATGACAACTTAATTCACTTCTACTGATTATTTAAGCTCTCTAATTTTCTTTATTAATCTAATTTAGTGACCTAATGGTATTTCCATTGATTGTAATTATTCTTTTTGTATGTCAAAAAGGATATCTAATTCTTCAAATCCATTTTCTTTAAATTTTTTCGACATATGTGTCTAATTTGATTGATTTCAAAAAATGTTTCTATAGGCTCTGACTTACTAGAAGGTGGCCCTATCCTTAAGTACTTAATTAATTAATGTATTTTACTTCGATTATTTGGAGTTGTATTGTTTTACCATCTTACACTTTCTATCTAATCTCCTGATTATTTGCTTATTTAAGATCTTTCCATCCTTTAAGAATTCAAATTT